CGGGTGCGCCATGCACAATTAATGGTGGTAGCTAAGCGTGGCGATTGAAAGATTTCCCGTCATGACCATACTCTGAAAACGCTCCGAGGTTTGCTGCCGGCCTGGAAAATTATCTGTGATAGTTATCCGGGTTCGTGGTGCCAAATGCTATTCAGATAAAAATTAAACGTTCAGGATAGTTATCGAAGATTAGCTGCCGGCCGAGCGCGGCGCGCATTTCAAAATCGATATGTGCAAATGAGTTCCAGATGGAATGATTGTTTGGACCATTAGAAATGAGTCCAGTAATGCCCTCAGCTGGTGTGTTAGACAACACAAACCGACGCACTAGACGAGGACGACAGTCGGAACAATTACTCCGTCCGTGGTACTGATACCTTTTATCAGTCCCTCATTAAAACTGTAAACAAAGACGTGTTTACACACTGGCCACAGCCGGGTTTTTCGAAACTGGCTGTCAGTGCTGACGAGCTCCCTTATCGGATAACAATTCGCTGGCGCTAGTGATTTGTTCGCGACATGGGCGATGAATTAGTGGTGGAAAAGGTTTTGGGATCGCCCGAATGCTTCGTGCTGCCAGCAAAAACTTGGGACACTTGAAATATCTGGTCAATAGAAGCGAAGCTGTGGAAACAAAAGATTCTAATAAATCGAATATAAATATAAATAAATATAAATAATTAAATAATATATACATTTACAATATATATGATATATGAATATGAATAAATAAATACAAATAGAAGATTCCCATAATCCCACGTGAACGACGAAAAATCCCAATTCGGCCAGACACAATCCCTTTAAATCAATTGCCGTGGGAGCTCTTCCAGAGCGGAGCTCGAAGCTTTCCAATCATCACTAGCATCTGGCCAAGTTCAGACGTACGAAGGCTTCCATTATCCGTCCTCCCTTCAGACCCGGGGAGGCTATGGGAGCTGTATTGATTGACTTCGTGGAGCTGAGACGGCTGAAACGGCTTACAAACCATGCCCTTCGGTACGTCCACGGGCAACGCAGGAATTAAGGCCGTTCAGGTTCTGGTTCTGGTTCTGGTTCGGGCAGGCAGGCACATCCAGGTAGCAGGAGCTTGGTCGTGACCTGTATCCTGTCTGACGTCGCGCTCTGCTGTGTTTGTGACGTTAGTGAGTTCCTCCATAAAATGCAATAGTGTTCCTTGCAATTCTCTTAACGGCATTAAGACGTTTTAGAGGTGCATGACCGCAATCGATTATTTCACGACGCATCAGGTCGACGAAACGCCCGCGACCCTAATCCATGGCCCAAATATCACCAGATCTGTGGACCGTCCGGACTGTAACCTATGGTCTTTATCACCGGGTCTGTGAACCATCTACGGACCGACAGTCGCGTTGTGCGTATATAACACCCTCGCCTTTTGTGGGGTGTTCGGGTGAGATCTAGCCCAGGGCGACTAGTAGCTGGGCTTTGAGCTCTTGGCTGTCTGGTTGGCCGCGGCGCTTGTGCGGGACGTTTGCTTCACACCGCGCGCCCTACTTTATGTTGGCTGGCTGATTAACCTTTTGAGCGTTCCATTGACTCTTAATTAAGTTCTCCGTGACCATGTATCTCAAAGCACGGCCCAGCGCGGCTAATGAAGCCACCGTTCTATCAGCCCTCTATCCATGATACTCACCTCACCGAACCTCACCCACCTCTCTCGGCATCAATGTGCGCGGTGGATAGTGTTGTATGTGTCTACGCAATAATATCTACGCAACCAGCCGGTTGACATCCCGAGTCCTGAGGTGCGGGCGATTACGCTTGTGTCACACCGCACGGGGGTTCGGGTTGTTAACTGAAGAAAACAAAGGGCAACTACTGCCACATTTTCTCTTTTGTCGCCGAATACAGTGGCGTGCGCGACACACGCATGCACAATAAACATTCGTTATTCAGTTAAAAGAAACAACAAGCAGATATCAATCGGAGAAAAATCGAAACACGACGCCTCAGTAGATGTTTTCAGATGTTCAACGCGTATCTCCACATATGGCTATGCACCCCGTGGCAGTTCACGTATCTTCTGTCGCATGTATTATACTCAGGTGACGTGGCTGAAACAGCAGTGATAGCGGCAGTAAGACGGCGGTTACAAATGATCAAGTCCTGTGACTCTCTGTGCGCGCCAGAATATCTGCCTTATGCAGCAGAGCAGAGTGACCTGGCAGCTAGGTCCGGTGACCAATGACCAGTGGCCAAATGGTCCAGTCTGTGGCTCTCTGTGCGCGCCAGAATATCTGCCGTATGCAGCAGAGCGAAGTGACCTGGCAGCTGGTCCAGTGGCCAGTAATCAGTGATCAGTAACCAGTGATCGCATGCAGCGCCAGCACCCAGGGGAAAGTGACCAAGCAGCTGGTCCAGTAACCAGCAACCAGTGACCGCATGCAGCGCCGGCTTCCAGAGCAAAGTGACCAGACGGCTGGTCAAGCCAGCATTAAACTACGTCATGAAGTCGGAACTATAGTACAATTCTGAAACCGATAGCTGCATTGTTACGCGGCAACAGTTGCAGCATCCTCGGACAAAAACAGGATAATCGGGTAGCGCCATGTACACATGTACAATGCCGGGAGAGACAGATACAATCACAGCACCTCAGACAACGCTAATTATACAATTTCAGCATCTGCGACAGCACCATCTGCAGTTCTCTGGATAAAGGCGCTTATCGCATCTCCGAACACCGTCAGTTACAGCACTCTGGACAGGGACATTTGCGGCGTGCTCTGGCGACAGTTGCAGCCACGCTTTCACTGCGCTCCGGAAACGCTGCCAGAATGACACGAAAGTTCGGCCTACTAAGCATGTGCGCTTGCCGGCATTAACGTTGTTAAAAGGCGTCATGCTTTCTCGAAAAGCGTAGTACCAACTTACGTCGTTTCCAGAAACCCGCAATTAGCGACGCTTTCCGAACAGCGGCTTAGCTCGTTTCTTACGCTGGCCATCGAAAATAGCGCCGTGTCTCCACGACTGGGAGCCCGCACTGCCAAATTTGCGCCAGGCTCAAGGTTTGAAATTAACTGTAACTGAGTTAAGACAACAAACAAAGCCACCAGCTGCACTTCACCGGCCCAAGAGTAACTTATCAGCGACAGGAGCGGGGCCAGGGTATTTTTAAGAGGGTTGGGGTCGAGCGGGGCTCAGTGAGCACCCCACGTTGATTTTTGATTTCCTGTCAGGAATGATCCTAGGTGCCAAGAGAAAGAATGAGGGTGTAAGGGACGGGGAGAGGGCTCCCTTTGCTGCGCATGGATCAGCGTCGAGTCGACATTATGTTGAATCGGCAAGAATTCATTGTCGAGAAAACGAAATGTAGGCAGTAGAAATCTCCGAGCCAGCATCTCGGCGGCTACGTCAAAGGCCGGCATGTTGCCATGTCAATCATGGTAGCTTGCCATTCTTGTGGATTTGGTTGTATAACATTTTTAGATATTAAATGCGCCCGGTGGGTTGTAAATGTTTAGCATAAATTTCTTGCTGGATACATTTCAGGGATCAGATCTCACACTGAGCAGTGCTTGTGTGAGCGCTGATCCCACCATCCAATCGTGAAGTTTCAGGTCAACGGCATGCTTTCATGGCGAAAGTTTGCCATGCTGCAAAAATACTCGGTACGGTCAGCCCAGTCTTCTGACCTCATCTGACCCTACACGGCTGCTGCCGCCAGACGCAGACCACCCTCTTTCAGGGACAAATAGTAGGCGTGTGTAGGGACCCGTACGCTCAGCCCGCCGCTGGTAGCCTGAGAAGCAGGTGCTGTCAACAACTGAGCCACGGGAGCGGGCGCAAATTCCCAACACGAACTGGGCTTGGTACCAACGCGGATCAACTGACCAAGTCTTGCACACTTACCATGTGTGTTGGGCATTGTGATTTGTGGCGAATGAAATCAGAGGTGATGGATGGCCAGTGGTGACTGCCGGAATGTCCTGGTCGTGTCCCGTCCCTCTCCCCCCCCCCCCCCCCCCCCGTCTGAACAGGATCCGTCGTCTGCTGGAACACTGCGACCGTTGAGTCAGCTGTAATGAAGAATATAGCCAGTGCAACTTCCTTTCGTGCCATAAGTTTGTTAAATTTCGCTTATAGCGGCGCTATTGTGAGCGAGATTGTATTCCAAGTTCGTCGGCATTGACCAGGCCTGGTCAGTCTTCTGAGCAGCCATTAATCGCACCGACATGCAGTTTTAACTAACTCTGAAAACTTAAAATGTACAGCTTGCTTAAACCTGACGACCACGGCTCGACACCCGGTCCAGATGTCTGCATTTTATCGCCGCGCTGGTGCTTCGACACCGACCAGCTGGACGATTGCATGCCTGTCGTGGTCGGGTCACGTCCCTCTGCCCGGCTGAACAGGATCCATCATCTACTGAAACGCTGCGACCTCGTGCGACCGCCGAGTATTCGAGGCCGTGTATTGGATGTCAGTTACTGTGGGAGGCTGTGATAACAAGCCGTCACGGGATTCATGCTGTGGCACGTGATCGAGCGATTTCGCAGGCGACCATCCGCGAAGCATTGAAGTCGCCGCGGGTGTCTGTAAAATGTGGTTCACTGATTTATGACATTGGGTGATGAAGGGAATGGCGCGAGGGATAGAGAGGGATAGTGCGCCAGCTGCAAATTACGTGTTGCAGCCATTTTGCTGCTGAAGCGCGCTACTGCAGTAGGATTGCCGCAGCGCACCGCCAATAAGCAATAAGATCGCCGCAGCGCACCGCCAAAAAGCAATAAGATCGCCGTAGCACACCGCCAATAAGCAATAAGATTACCGCAGCACACCGCTAATGACCAAAACGATCTTCGCAGCACTTCGCCATGGCGGTGTGCCGCGGCGATCCTGTGATACACGTGCTGCACTTTCTATACGTCACTCGTGATGGCGTCTCATAGACATTTCTCATTATCACGTGTTGTTACGAACCTGCTGTATGTGCTTTGCAATTTCTTGACGTCCGTCGTAACGGTTTGTTGCAGTGATCCTGCAGTACATGCTCTGCAGTTTCTGGACGTTATCAACATGAAGGACCCCAGCCAGAAGTCCAACTTCTTCCGCATTACGCTGCCAGAAGTGTTGCCGTATATACCACGCGTAAGTGAGCATTTCTTCAGCATGTCTACCCGCCTGCCTTCGCTGTTTGGGGACTCAGGTCTGGCACTCAGGCACAATTGAGGTGCGCGGTGGAAAATTCACGCTTGGAAGAGCACATTTGGAAAGCTGGTTGCCCTCAACTCGTACTTACTATCGACCCATTCCATGAGTTAAATCGACATAGGAATTACTGCGGAAAATAGTGAAAGGATTGTGACGCTGTCTGCACATTAAGCTAATTTATAACCGGAACGAATCACGTTTTAAATCCCTTAGAAGGCTTAAGCTGTCGTCTTTTGTCCTCAATTCCCTCTAGAATTCAAGCGGCTATCGATGAATCTGATTAGTTGTCGGCTCACTGGGTATTGCCGGAGGCGGAATTTCAAAGTTGAACGTAGTTCTGCCTACGTTGCCTTTTAGTTTAGAAATTTCTGGAGTGGAACCCATCAGTTGGACAGAGGTCTTCGGCTCGGTCCTTTGCAGCGTCTGGCATGTTGGACACATTATTTCCATACGCTTTCTGGTTTAAAAAAGGAACCGGTAAAACACGCCACGGAATGATTTGCGATGCATCATTATCATATAATGTTGAATGAAACATACAGATGCCATCGTACTGTTAGCCTCACTCTTTGTCGAATAACCAGGAGAAATCAAAGCCAAATGCATTCATATTTCGGCCGCATGCCGTCGTCAAAACAATCGAGACAATCATGAGCAGTAAATTCATAGTCGCCCATCAGTTCCACTCGATCAGGTATTACGCCTCGAACAGATAAATGATATCAACCTAACACACATCATGCATTAAGACACTAATCAGGCTCGCAAAATCGACCATGATGAGCCCAACACGTTAAGGTCTAGTCGAAGACTGCTTTTAGGAACTGATTCGCTTGTTTTCCTATCTAGATGGTCCTGCGCCCTGCACGTAACTGAGTTCTAAAAAGGGTATGGGGTCCGTGCCTCCCTGAATTTCAGCCTTAGGGTGCTTCGTCAAAAAAGTCACCAAAAGGGGTACTTTCTGTTTTAATGTTAAAGTCTCGCTGGCGTTCGTTAAGTCCGACAAATAAGTGCATGGTCTCCCTGACATAGGCTAAGTCCCTCCCATGTTTTTTTTTTGCACACCTTGCACTTAATTTCGTAAACTAGGCTTTTCTGCGTGCGAACTCCATGAAATCTTGACTTACATGGAATGACACCCATTGCCCCGCCGTCTCCCGCGCACTTAGGCTTCGAGAGGGAAGATATCATCAGAGGCTTTTTCACCCTCTTGTCATTATTCGACGAGGAGCAAAGCTTACAGTACCGATTTTTCCAAATGTATAATACTCCTCGCAAATGCACTTAACAACTATGCGGAATGAGAGCATTTGAAATGCTTCAAGGGATTACGATTTACTTTCAAAACATACAGAATAAAAGTGGCAGCAGTTCGTTAGAAAATAAACGAACGATGGCTTTCAGTCGGTGTCGGTTTATTTGAGTGTTGGTTTATTTGAGTGACTATTACAGCTCACCACTGCAATGACATTGTCCCTTGGTTCGTCGTCATTGGGGCTTTATGATGCACTCAGCTGCTGAGGCTATGTGGCGTCACCTGCCTGTCACCCTAGCTGGAAGGGTGGGCTACGCGGAGAATCGAACCCCGTACGTCCGGTCTCCCACACGCGCAGTGATTAAAAGGAGTGTTTCCAATTTGTATGGGGCTTTGAACCGAAACCGCCAACTTGGAGATCATTCGGTGCGGTTCACAACCCGGTCCTTCTTAAGGCCTAAACCCCTCTGGTTTCTAAGCCACGCGTGTGTGATTATGAGCATTCTATTTCGGGAGACTATTTCAACGTCACCCAGGAACCCACGACGCTGTAATAACTTAAGTCAAATCCTGTCATTCCATTTACTATGCGGTGATGAGGTCCAATGCAAAAATAGCTGTCGAAACGTTCATGTCTGGAGTTCGTGAGCACGAGCTCCAGATACAGCGACCGTCAGATGCTCCTTCTACGTTGTGCAAGGTACAATGACGCAGTCAAACCATGATGCTTTGAAGAGTATATTTATTAAACAGAGAACTGTGCTCTATAATTGTGTCAAGAGCAGTTTGATCCTTCTAAAAGTATACCAATAGTTGAAGTGACCTTATTTCATGTCTGATGCTTGCTTTGACATCCAGGGATGGTAAAACCTGCCAACTTGGTGGATAAGGCTGGCGACAAATGCATATATATATATATATATATATATATATATATATATATATATATATATATATATATATAATGAGGCATATTAATAATGAGGTATTTGTATAGATATAATTCCTCCATGGTAATACATTTTGTCACACAATGACGAGCAAACCTTCCCGTAAATTTTTTTGTCGTACTCTACGGCACCATGGCATCTTTTCTAGCTTTCCTCCCAATCTGGCGACAAAAATATTTCATATTTTTTAGCTCGTTGTTCGCCTCTGTGACGGACCAAAGACAAAACAGTATTTCATATGGCCCGGCCGGTCGGCCAATTTGCTTTTGTTGCCAGCCGACTCTCAGTGTCTCAAACTAGACAGCATAAGAAACTGAAAAAGATTTAGACATGGGGATTCATCAGGTCGCAAGGGCATGTCCCAATCGTTGCGATGCAACTGATATGAGGTGGGCGGTGACTGTCAATGCACTGCAACTTTGCAACTGGCATGCGCATTGCAGCGTCATGAATATTTGCATAGAGCTCAATTTTTGGCCTAGTTTACTTCGTTGGCGGTGCCGCGAATCATTACCTTGCCCTCAGCGACGATATGTGACAGTTCAGAGTAAGTCTACGGTATGGCCCGAACAAGGTAGGCATTGACCTGTGGTTATCCAAACCGCCTTTTCAAGACATCGAAAAGGCTGTTGACTCAATGTAGCAGTCACAAGCGGCCCGCCTTCCTCCCTTTGAAAAGAACCGTGGGTTCGATTTTGAAGTCTGATGACACTCCTCATGGGGGTGAGTGACAGGGGGTGACAGTGGTCCTGAAAGGCCAATTTATGCCAGTTTTGCTCTTATCCTGATTGTAAATGGTTACCAGTTACATAAATATACAAATCAGGGGTGCTTCTAATTTTATATCCAGTTCAGGACTCCCACCCTCCCTCCTGACTTTGTGGAGAAGTGTGCTAGTCATGGAGCCATCTGTATTTTGGGAGTACATTGCATAATTTTTCACTGTTTCCCAAACCTATCTTCAAGAACTATGCCACTGCTTAAATGCAATTATTTCATCAATGTTTTAGCATCATTCAAACATCATGTACAGTTCAACCTTTTACTAACATAAGCCTTGGTTACTGGAAATTTGTATGATAGCCAATGATGTAGGCCATGCGAAGGCGATGAAAGTGAGGCATGTAGTAGTGTAGGAAATGTAAGCAATGAGGAGGGGAAGGGGCCGCAGGTTTCATTGTCATCTCCCCCTTCACCAAGGGTTTTGCTTCAAATAGCAGGATGTTTTATGACATTGTGGTCCAACTGCCCTATGAGGTCAGTGAAAGGTTGGCATTTGGTTGTCTCTGAGAACGCTGGCTATTTACTGATGATAATACCCCTATTGTCACAAGAAAGCTCTGAAACTCATTCATTCTGCAGTGTTCATTCATATGCATATTTTCTTCGCGCTTATGAGCATGGTGCCACATAGATGCAAATGTGGTATGTTTCATTACTATTTTGCTAACACCGAATTGCAAAGTTGTCCTGATGGAACCCCTGGCATAGTCACCGCATACATTGGATACAGGTTGTGATGGTGGATAGCCTACCTTATATGCAGCCTACATTGATAGTAGAAATCAACGTAGTTTGAGTGGTGGTGACATAATGACAGGAGTGTAAATTTCTGCCCATGATTAAGGCCAGATGGTGGCCCATGCGTGATGGCTATTAAATAATGCCCAGAAAATATGGTTATGTGTTTGAGATAGCTTTTTTCCTCATGTCTTTTCGTCATTTCCAGCCAAAAATATTGGCTGTAGGGGAGGAAGGAATCTGCATTTAGGCGGCCCGACCCAGCATGGAAATTGGGTAGTGCGCCAGAAATTAATCTGAACTGGTACTCCTGCATCTACATGACAAACGTCACTGCTAACCTTGAATTTGCACACTTCATGCATGTAAAGGGCAACTTTAGCTTGCTGATTAAATTTCTGTCAATGTTTGGATGTTGGTGACAAAAACGCCTCATTCTGCTGTGGCAGTTGATGTTTTGATGATCTGAAATGTAGATTTTTTACACCAGCATATGCGAAATTAATACAAAGGGATGGCAGCTGACCATATTAACTCTTACTCTCATTCACTGGTTTTCAAGCCGCAGACTGGTAGGAGAAGGGGGCGGTTTCATGGCGTTTGCAAACTAAGAACGCCTAGAACCTCGCAAAAACCAAAGCAGTGAACTGTCTTTAACGAGATCTCGCAAGTGGTAAAAAGTCTCCTGTTGTCGATTGACCCCACTAGACCAAGTATAAGGTTCAGTTTTCCTGAAAACCAAACTAGATCAGCTTTGCAGGCCCATATACACGAAACCATCCAGTTAAGTGACATGGAACATAAAGAGGTGTGTACCTGGTTTCATTATGCCTACAATGGTATTTAGTTTATCTGTCTCGAGCCTGCACTTATAACGTAGCGGCTTCGTTCATGTAACAGCGCCAACCCTCCGCGCGCACATAATCGTCGCGTGCCGCCCGCCGCACCCACCGGCGTTGGATCATCTTGCAACGCTCGTAAAAAACACCGCTTTTCGGAGACCAGAACTGCTAGGGACAGTGTGTTGGTGTCAACACGTGTATGATGCATGCTTTAGAGGCTACCGAAGAGCACAGCGAGACTGCGCAATGTGCCGCACTGGTATCCTCAGAAAACCGTAGGGGTGTCGCATCGTCCACTCCCCTCCGTTCAGGACGATCAATCTGTTCAGAAAGAACTAGCCGCCTGATGTGAACTTATTAACAAATTTC